GACAGTGAGATTTGTTGTTCCACTTATTTATGCATTCATTAGTTGATTCTTGACCTGAATCAAACCTGCGATCTTGGTGTGTTGGGATGACACTAACTAACTGAGCTCCTCGGCTTGGGCTTCCACCTTTTTTTATTTTTATCCTGCTAATTTTATTTTTTTCATCACCATTTATGCACTCTATGCCCTCTTCCACCTTCACCTACCCCTCCCCCATATCATGCTAGTTTTAGACAAAATGTGATCAAATTGGGACATATCTTTTTCAATAATTTGTTTTTAACTTCAAAGGTTCAGTTGGAAAGGGTATTGGCTCAAATCAGGCTTCTCCACTTTTTTTTTTTAGGAAGATAGACATAGAATACTGCCATACTGCCAGTCTGAGTTTTTTTTGTCCCTTTAAATAGCTCATGTCACGAAATATATGAGGCAACATCTTCACGCTTTCTCCTTTATTTGTGTTTTTGCCCCTACTCATCCCAGCAGAACAAACACTGGATTAGCTAAAATGTTGAGAATACAGAAAAAAGAAATTTGCTTAGAGATGAATAAAAACTGGAAGCAGAAGACGTGCCAAGGAGCTGAGAGCTGGCCCGGAGATCTCTGGGAGCAATTTTCCAGGTGGACTGAAGCATGATCTTGTAAGGCATAGCCCCGGGTTGCACCTCTGGCCTCCAATTAAGCAGGATTTACAAGCCACTATCTATGGCTCTCCTGGCACTGGAGGAGAAGAAATGTTCACCGGACAGTAAAAACTTTCGGTTTACATAGCAATCAAAACAGGGCCTTCCTTTTCCAGGGAGAAAAAACTTGACCCCTGAATTTAACGGGAGGAGTAGAGGGATTCATTTCTATGCTAGCATCTGGCGAGATGCCTTCCTCCAAGATTGCTGAGGATTTATAGTCATTTCTGACAAGGCTAGTATCCAAATGCAGAGAAGAGCCAAGTCTCACCCTTAGAGGCTGACAGAAAGAAAGCGTCTGGTGCTGGGGCAGCAGAGGCAGGAGGTGAACGCCGCCCACCCGCCCGCGGCTCCTCCCCGCGCTCGCAGGCCCACTCCCAAACTAAGCACACACTTCCCGGTTCCAGCCAGAAGCTCTGCGTGCGCCTCTACACGTAGCCGCAGACGGTCCCTAAATAGGTCTGCGTGGAGCAAACAGTCCCCCGACGTGGGGCCGGAAACCGACCGCACGGGCCGCAGGCAGCAGCGCGGCGGCTCAGCGGCGGC